AGAGAGAGAGAGAGAGAGAGAGAGAGAGAGAGAGAGAGAGAGAGAGAGAGAGAGAGAGACAGAGACAGAGAGACAGAGAGACCGCCCGCAAAGGGCCTCACTCCACGACATTCTACATGCACGAAAGACAAAAAATTGTGACGTTGTATCTTTCCTTGTTCTGCCGGAAGATTCACTTGTCTTTTGCACATTTTCAACAATGAAACTTCCACTAGAGCGTCGGAAGATACGCTGCCTTTTTTTTTTTTTTGGTCATTTTTGAAGTTTTTCAAAAGGCCTGCAGTTTGTTTTAAAAAAAAAAAAACAAAAAAAAAAACGCCTGCCTCCACCACTCACCAAACCAAGGAAAATAAAAAAGAGAAGAACAAAATGAATCTCCCAAAAAAACGTGGGAAGATACTCCGCCGCTAAAAAGGCAAAAAAAATGCAAATTGACGAAAAACATTTTTTTTTGAAAATAGAACAAAAAACAAGGGAAAAACAAAACAAAACAACTTGTAAGAAGGGAAAACATAATTATAAAGTAAAAGTAAAAAAGATAACCAAAGAAAAAAGGAAACGAAATGACAAAAAAATCAATAACCAAAAAAAATACAAAACGTGAAAACAAAAAAGAAAAAAGGTGTGGGGCACAAAGCGACACTGAAATGCTATCGACGGTGGGCACTTCGAGATATTCATCCCTGTAGTGGGCGCTCTCTCGCGTTTAATGGCGCGCTGCGCACATTTCGGTACGCGCGCCCCTCTACACATTCCCCCACCCTAAATCGCCTTCATCCGCCGGCCCTCATCAAAACTTTGAGCCCAAATCCGGCGCGCGGCAGACCATCGACCTCCCCCCCGCGGTCAATGCTGCTTAAGGGGTAGGACTTGACATTGGTTGTTGCTGGCTGACCTGCAGGCCAATGGATTGACTAACGAAAGTCTGCGAGACACACTGACTAACACCTGACGAAGATGCCTGAGAAGAGGCTTGTGCAGAGGGGGTAGCCATGGCTGCCTCAACACTGGCTCTAACCTCTGCTTTTGTTGCTCCTGCTAGTGCCCTTGAGTGGTTGGCTGCTGCTTCCCTAACCCTCCACAATGTTTCCTTCTCTTTGGCTTCTCTCCTCAACCCTTTCCTCTCCTTGTTCTAACACTAGGAAAGTGGTCGGTCGTCTGAGTGCACATCTTCTAGTTAACCTCCTATCGTCCTCCTCTAGTCTATCAACCCCACTTTCATCTCCACTTATGAGCTACGCGTGGTCTACGATCTGCACTAGTGTCCTCGCTGGGACCTACCGCAGCATGGTATCCACCCAACTATAAATAAATAAATACCTCGGTCCTGTTTTGTCAGAAAGTAGCCAAGCGGTAACAGAAATTAATCTCAGATGCCTACAAACAACTCTATGCCTACTTTTTACTAGTCTGAGACAGATTTCTTGCAACGAGAAATTATTACTACCTATTTGCAGTTGTCTGCCAGTTGTTAGCAGTGTATGTCACAATTAAGTAATCAAAATAATGCAAGGAACATGAATATGGACGAAGCACAGAAATCCAGAATGCAAAATCACACTGAAGTCCAAGTAGTCAAAGCCAAAGCAGATAGCACATGGAACCGAGTAACCATCCMATTGAGAATGATACAGAAGAATCGTGAGTCAATGTCCATGCCCAACAGGGCAACACCAACAGCATAACCCAAATGTAGCTCTCTCTTGTGAATGGCGCTAGGCGCCCTATCTACTCTACAGCCTAGCCTACAACTACAGCAATGAAAGCAACCATATAACTTGACTACCAACGAGTGATGATGTCAACACCAATGTCGACCTCCACCTCCACCAGGTACGTGTCCTTTTCACCTACACTCTCCCTTGTACCCACACAGCGCCCTTCACCTCCGAAGACCACCTTCACCCCTCACCTCTCCTGCACCCTCATGCGGCCCGGCTATGGCCGCCAGTGCCTTGAATGCAGGCAGCGCCCTACCGCCTAGCGCTTGCCTGCTTCACCTTAGCGCAGCGCASCACACATGCATCCGCGCAGCGTGCCCGCAATGCCTGCATTGGCGCAAGTTCCCTGCCCACTCGCCCTGCTTGCCTATATGCCAGTGCAGCGTGTGGGCGGCCTCCCTTCAGCCTGTGACCGGGGCCCAAAGGCTGACCCCAACCCGATACAGTTGGGCCCCGGGGCAATGCAGTTGCGCCTCCTTCATCAAGGCCTGCGGCCAGATTCAGATAGTGGGCCGATTTCCCTTTGGCATTTTCGGCCTCTATACCCAACATGCATTGTCGGCCTCACGTTCGAGTGCCCAGGGCCTAACTAACTCAGAGGCCCTGGGCTTTCAACATTTGCTGAAATCCGAGACTCGGTGCACTCCAACCAACTGGCGTGCTGCAACTGTATGGACCCCACTTCGTGAAATGTTGGCACAAAGGGCTCTTGTTGATTTGCTGGCCCGCCTTCACTTAGGGCGTGCACGAGTCTTGCTGGGGACTTAGCCCAGAACATGTACATCATGGCAAGGCCCCTACTTGAGGGCTCGTTCCTCACATTCCATCCCCCTTAGCTTCGAAAGTCCGCTGAGATGCTTACTTCGCAGGTGCCTTCCCTTTTAGCTTCCTTTCATATTCTGCCACCACCTGA